GTGTTTTGCACACGACTGTCATAATTATTGGCGTTCAAATAAATTCATGTCATTCACATATATTTCACTCACATTATGTTCATTTCAATCATCCTTTCCAGTCATACTTATTACCACGCGGTCATGCTGCTGTTTCGTAGACTTGAGATTAACTGCAAAATCCTCACAAACGCGGCCAGTATCACCACGTACGTGATTGGGGAAGCACTTGTCGACGCTGAAGATCCTGGAGTCGCTGACCACCTCGCCGTTTTCCCTGATGTAGTACACGAGCAGCTTGAACTCAGGGCCCATCTTGGTGAGCACCGGGAACGTGAGGCTGGCGCCGCTCACCTGGCCCACCTTGATGATCCGACCTCGTGACAGGATCTGGAGGGACGCGAGTGACACTCAGTTGGCAGGGTGGAAACCGGCGAAAGACATTGGACGAGCAAAGGCATCCGTATATGAGGGAACACAGCGGATGCAGAGGACACATCCTGCATGTGAACAACATATCGACCGATTCTCCATCTTCACGTTTTCTCACTTTTTCAAAAGTTCTTCATTTGACCTCATCCACAGAGGGTCGGAGTGAAGCGGTATCTGCTGCGTCCGGTGTAAGATTTCCTGCGCCGGGTCCTCGATGGCTTCGATTATTTTACCCCAAGTACCCCAACGTTACACCTTATCAACCCCAAATCCCCATGTGTCGGTTGCCGTGGCATTATCCGTCAAAAATGACCTCGACGGGTATCTGATTCTGACACTTGACTCACACATTACTGGACCCCGCCTACAAATGACCTCCACGGGTATCTGATCCTGACACTTGACTCACACATCACTGGACCCTGCCTTCAAATGACCTCCACCGGGTATCTGATCCTGACACTTGACTCACACATCACTGGACCCTGCCTACGAATGACCTCCACCGGGTATCTGATCCTGACACTTGACTCACACATCACTGGACCCTGCCTACGAATGACCTCCACCGGGTATCCCATCCTGACACTTGACTCACACATCACTGGACCCTGCCTACGAATGACCTCCACCGGGTGTCTGATCCTGACACTTGACTCACACATCACTGGACCCTGCCTACGAATGACCTCCACCGGGATCTCATCCTGACACTTGACTCACACATCACTGGACCCTGCCTACGAATGACCTCCACCGGTATCTCATCGACACTTGACTCACACATCACTGGACCCTGCCTACGAATGACCTCCACCGGGTGTCTGATCCTGACACTTGACTCACACATCACTGGACCCTGCCTACGAATGACCTCCACCGGGTGTCTCATCCTGACACTTGACTCACACATCACTGGACCCTGCCTACGAATGACCTCCACCGGGTATCTCATCCTGACACTTGACTCACACATCACTGGACCCTGCCTACGAATGACCTCCACCGGGTGTCTCATCCTGACACTTGACTCACACATCACTGGACCCTGCCCGAATGACCTCCACCGGGTATCTCATCCTGACACTTGACTCACACATCACTGGACCCTGCCTACGAATGACCTCCACCGGGTGTCTGATCCTGACACTTGACTCACACATCACTGGACCCTGCCTACGAATGACCTCCACCGGGTGCCTGACCTTGATTTACTCACATATCACCGGACCCTGCCTTCACAGCGTTGACGCGACCTGCCTGTACACGTGTCTTATAACAGTAGCAACTTTTCAGTATATCTTGTGAGAGAAATGTGTCGCAGACCACGCATTCACCTCTCCGTTCGTCTTTTCTTTATCCACACCTCAATGACATCCCTTCCGGTGCACGTCCTCGCCCAGTGTACTAAATTCAAGAAATCCGCTGAAAAATGACACCTTTTGCGGACAATTTTGGGCTCACGGCTTTCAGTCCTATTCATAAATTCATTCATCTAGGGACAGCCTGCATTTTCCTCCGATTTCAGTCTCTTTCGGGGCCTTAGCGACAGTACATCGGTTCCCAGGACGCCAAGTGTTGCGACGACACGACCACACTGGCCTCACCTTGTAGACCGTTGGTGGCGCTGGTCCCTCCTGCGACACCGCCACACTGGCCTCACCTTGTAGACCACGGACGGCGCTGGTCCCTCCCGCGACACCGCCACACTGGCCTCACCTTGTAGACCATGGGCGGCGCTGGTCCCTCCTGCGACGTGAGCAGCTGGACGGTGACGTCGCCGGAGCAGGGCAGCAGCGGAGGCAGCAGGTGCGAGTCGATGCTGATGTACGACCGTGACGGCGAGAAGAAAGCCCGCAGCGAGTCGAATTCTCTGTCTGTGTCGCCATCCACCTCGGAGCTTGTCTAGAACAGGCGCGAGCGGGGTAGTCAGGTCAGAGTCATGTCGGGGAGGGGTGCCAATCCAAGGCGTAAGTATAGTCAAACTGGGGTGAACTAATCTCTGAAGAACGGAATTTGCACACCCTTTACCTTAAATTGCATATGAGCATGCAAGACTAGGGACATCACTTTTCGTATCCTCGTGTGCTAGCAATGCTCCTGTACTCGTGCCCTAGAATTACGAGTATACCCGTGCACCAGTGTATCACTGGCATGCTCGCATGTCTGTGAACGTCCTGGGCTTCCATTTCGCACCCACGCGGGCAACTGCGGTTTCTAACTTCGAGACCACTATACGTGAGGACAAACCAATGTCAGTGACAGCCCGGTATCCAGGGCGAGGCGGCCATTGCTTACGATACTACCTGTGGGGCACGACAGTTCAATGCCGACAAGTTGCTGTCTTGGTGCAGGAATGGGTGGTATATTATGGGCTCGTATTTTGCCATGGGCCATGCGCTTGTATTTGGACGTGCCTGAATACCACCCAGCACGGCACAGTGGCCCCTAGCTGGTGAAGCCCGTGCAGCATCGTGCAGAGCCGTTGAACGAGTTTGAATGACATACGTCCACCCAGGCCGCCATGGGTGGCACACGGCGCTTCACCCAGTCCGCGATGGGCGGCACGCGACGCCCCACCCAGGCCGCGATGGGTGGCACGCGGCGCAACGCCGTGCCATGGGAGGCACGCGACGCAACGCCGTGCGATGTAGTGGAAAACAGTGCGTCCCGACTCAACGTGGTAGAAAACAGTGCGCTCCGGCTCAACGTGGTAGAAGACAGTTCTTCCCGGCGCAGCGTGGTAGAAAACAGTGTTTCCCGGCGCAGCGTAGTTGGAAAACAGTGCGTCCCGGCGCGACGTAGTGCTTTGTGGTGTATTCCGACGGCTTACCTCGAGGTCGAGGCTGTCGATGTCCTCGGCTTGCGCGGGGATGAAGTAGACAATGTGGCCATCTTCGTTCGTGAGATATTCACGACACTGTTTTTTGGTGGATCGGCGTTTGGGCGACTCCGTCTCCCAGATCAGCGGCGTGTAGCCGAACTCAGCGTCTATCTTCTCAGAGAACTGGGCACGGAAGGTTCGCGAGAGGTTACAGCCGGAGAGATGGGGCACGAGGGGTCACGAAGGGGCACGAAGGGTCACGAAGGGGCACGAGGGGTCACGAGGGGTCACGAGCGGTCAAGAGGAGTCACGAGTGGTCACGAGGAGTCACGAGGAGTCACGAGAGGTCACGAGGGGTCACGATGGGTCCCGGGAGAGGGATTGCCAGTTATGTGGTTGTAGTGATGCGAAGTGCATTGGTGTCCGCCAAGGTCGCAAGGAAATGGGAAGCCGCCAGGTGTAAGACGAAGACACGGTGCGTGACGCGAGATCGCTTCGAGTCACGTGACCGATCAGAAGGGTTTGTTCGGTACCGCGAACGGTGACAGGGTTTAAAATTGACTCTACCTTGTCGTGCATGCTCCAGTGCACGGGCACAAGTTTCGCCGACCTCAGAAAATGTCTGATATAGACTTTAACATGGTCATAACTATTGTTCCTGTTTGCAGCACACTGCGCCATAAGTCGCAAACGAGTCGGCTGAGGCTAAGGGTCACACAAACGAGTCGGCTGAGGCTGAGGGTCAGACAAACACATCGGGTTAAGTTAAGGCCAAGGACCCGACCAACATGTCCGGTTAAGGCTAATGACCTGACAAAGATGCCAAACTAAGACCAATGGACGCCAGGCTAGCACCAGTTAGGGAAGCTCAGTGAAGGCTTGGGCGGAGCTTTGATGCACGCAAAGTTGAACAAGCACTGCCACTTCAACCGCCGACTAATAGAGTGGTATTCGCCTCCGCTGTTGCTTTCAGCCTACCCACCTTGGAAGCGGCCTTGTAGAGGATATCTTTGGGAAGCTGCTTCGGGCTTTTGTCACTGGAGCTGAAAAACGGAACGGCTGCTTCATAACAGCGCCATGCTCGCGCGCAAAGTGCACTTCCCCCCTCCCTCCGCAATTAACGGCCACATTTTGACCGAGTGATTTCGCGTGAGGCCAAAGATCGTGTAAGCGATTTGTGTGAGGCCAAACGATACGTGATGAAGTGAAATGCGTACAGCCCTGCTCCGAAGATTCAGAAGTGCACAGCTTAGCGCCTTCGGTACATCTGACGAATCCCCACCCAGCGGCGGTCCCCCACTATGTTATGGCCCCCGTCAGCCGCGTCAGCTGATAACGCCATGAAAACTCCTGCAGCTGCAGCCCACAGCCGTGGCCCCCGTCCCAGCCCGACGCGGCAGTTGACCCGAGGTCCTGACCCGAGGTTGACCCGAGGTCCTGGAGCTTGCTGTCAACCACCGCCGCCTGACGCGTTTGCGACGGACTCGTGCGTGCCGTGATGCGGCTTGTCAAGCCTCGCGAGCCCACCATGACACACGGCAGTTCTGTCCGATCCTCTCACCTGGCCGCTCTGTCCTTGTAATTTGCCGTGTAGCACACCTCGACGGTTTCATTGACGGCTGGAGTGTCGTCCCCGCGCTTCAGCTCGAACTGAAACAGCACAGTGGAGATGCCGGGGCGCACTGGCAGAGCGAAGCCCTCAGATGGCTCATGGAGCCAGAGTGGTCCCACTGGCCCACCAGTGTGATCCCACTGGCCAACCAGTGTGGTCCCACTGGCCCACCAGTGTGGTCCCACTGACCCACCAGTGTGGTCCCACTGGCCCACCAGTGTGGTCCCACTGGCCCACCAGTGTGGTCCCACTGGCCCACCAGTGTGGTCCCACTGGCTCACCAGTGTGGTCCCACTGGCCCACCAGTGTGGAAAGAGTACCACTGACGCGACAGCGTCGACACGAGACGACTCAGAACGCAGTGAAGATCGTGTGGCATTCTATTATCTGCAGTATACCAATAACCCTACCGTTTCGAAGTACCGAAGCGCATGTCGAGCAACGGCCTTAGGTACATGGGTTGCATTCAGAAAGAAAACGCAAAATGAGCTTTAAAAATTGAAATGGGGGATACAAAGACATGTGATGCACAAAAGGGAGCAGTGAAGTGACGCATTGAAGTTGGTAATTTCTGGGATGCAAACACCATTTACCAGCGTTCTTTCGAAAATACTCAGATCAAACGGGCTACAAGGCAATGTCATACACATGCCAGCCTCAGGCGCCAGGGCAGTGTCATACACACATCGATCTCATCTCCGGCTGAGCTGCGACGGCATGCGTTTGGGAGTACCTCCACATGTCGGGCGCCGATGCACATCAAGGCTTCCGGGACTATGTCTTTTATGCCAAGCTGATCGCATGCATTTATACGTGCGTGAGATGCACGCTGGCTATTAAAAGTTTGAAACACACAAGACAAACCAAACGCCAGATCGGCCACACACGATGTCGTTTTACACCATGCAAGAAATCTCGCCCATTTCATACTTTTATTTGATTGTGCCCACGGAGAATTCTTGCATATGCCCCTGATGATACTACGCTCCTGCATACGCCCCGATGATAATACGCTCTGCATACCCCCTGATGAAGTGGGCGGCACACGCTTTTTTCTTTTGAGTGCACGTGGATCGTGCTCTGTAGACGACAGCCAGCGTGGGTTCCATCCCAGTACGCTCCAACTTATACGATGGATGTTCCATGCGCTACATTGCAGAGCACACACTGCTATGGCAACCAAGACTGGCGCATCCGTAGCAGCCACGGACGGTTGGGCCTCACCCAAGGGCTCACCCACCCTTAACGGCGGGGGAGGCTCAGCCACCACTCACATAGGAAAACCGAAGCAGCGCCTACGGTATTAAAAGAGAAAAACGCGGGTCTAAGGGGAAGGGGGAAGCAAATGCTCTTCCCCTCAACATCAGCTTGGTCTGCGTGTTGTAATGCATCACGGCGTGACTCACTCGTCCATAGTAGGGCAGGTTGGGCTTCAGGTACGACTGGATCTTGTCTTTCCGCTGCAGACTGATGAACCTGAACTTCTGGTTGATGCCCTTGCTCGCCGCCTGCGTCAGGCCCGTGCCTTTCTCTTCAACCAGGACTTTCACGGTTATCTGCCGAACGGAGCAGGATAAGCAGGCCGAAAAGGCTGAACAGGCTAAGCATGGCAGAAACGAGAAATCCCGAGCAGTGTAGACGGCATTTGCGTTCGTATGTGCCCGATAACAGGGTATACATTTGCGTTCGTATGTGCCCGATACCAGGGTATACATTTGCGTTCGTATGTGCCCGAAAACAGGGTTTGCATTTGCGTTCGTATGTGCCCGATAACAGGGTATACATTTGCGTTCGTACGTGCCCGATAACAGGGTACACATTTGCGTTCGGATGTGCCCGATAACAGGGTATACATTTGCGTTCGTACGTGCCCGATAACAGGGTATACATTTGCGTTCGGATGTGCCCGATAACAGGGTATACATTTGCGTTCGGATGTGCCCGATAACAGGGTATACATTTGCGTTCGTATGTGCCCGATAACAGGGTATACGTGGAGAGAGGACGGACCACCATGAACAACATGGCAAGCAAGCCTCTGTAATAAATCCTTACCGTGTGGTTGCTGTAGCATAGCAGGCGAGTCCTTCCAGGAAATGTTCATCATTTTATTGGATGAAGCGCTATCGGAGGCTGCGACTGGCAATGTCTGCTGCGCTATATATATCACTAACCTTAGCACGGCTGGTGCTTACGGTCAACCACGCACACCAGATGGGCGGAAACACCCCAACTAGCTTGTTTCATCCACCGGTATGCCATGAAAGAGGGGCTCCCGTGCCCCCCTCCCCCCAAATCTTCTAGTAGAGACGGAGGAACAGCGTGTTAGCACACACTGTTAACACGCGCGCGCAGGTGTGCAAAACGAAGCGTGTGTGGGTAAGCAATCACCGCCTTGGGTGCTGCACTACTCTACTCCGCGTGCCGCCGCTCAGATGAACTACGGCCGTAGTACCAAACAGTCACACTCCCTTACCAGACGTGAGCACATGCTCTCCATGGTGTTCGCCACACGGACCACGGTCCCCGGCGCTCCCCAGTCGATTGCCCTCCTCACCGGACGTGAGCACACATTGCTCGGCATAGCGCCGCGCCGCACGCGCTTTCGCACAGTTCGGGCCAAACTTACTGTAATACGCGTGTCGTCCACCAGCCAGCTGAACCTACTGTAACAAGCGTGCCGTCCGCAAGCCAGCGAGTAACTCCTCACGGAAGCTGACGTGCTGCGCCGTCACACTTCCGGTCACCCGGCTGGTGATGCCACGGATGACGTCATGGATGACGTCGACGTAACCCTCACCGAATTGCCGCTCCCGATCCTGGGGATCCCGATGCCCAGCTTGCTGACCAGCAGATCGAAGACTGCGCAGCCCTTCTCGTCACTAAGCTGATAGTCGGAGATGTTCTTGAGCAGCTCCGGGTTCCGTTCCCGTTGGAAGGAGGACACGCTGGACGTGGCGTTGATGGTGATGTTGGCGCCCACCAGTGGCTTGCCGAACGTGTAACTAGTGAAGAGTGCGCATGGTGAGCACGGTGAACGGGAAGCATAGTGGAAAGATTGAGTGGTGGACGTTGAGAACATGGATAACTGAGAACGTGGCAGACACGATGGAACGGGACATGGTGAACAGTGAGCGGAAAACCCGGTGATCATGAAACAAGGTAAACGAGCGGAGAACAAGGCGCTCGTGATGAGAGTGAGCATGGAACGGGGGTGTTGAGCAGCGAACCAAACAGGCACTATGCGTTCGAAGCGGAGGAGAGCGTGCAGAGCAAAGAAGCTAGAGTCGGGCCAGCCATGCCAATAGGGAACACGGCTCACGGCGAGCATAGAGCTGATGCGGAACACGGATCACGGCGAGCATAGAGCTGGTGCGGAACACGGATCATGGCGAGCACAGAACTGGTGCGGAACACGGATCATGGCGAGCGCAGAGCTGGCGCGGAAGACGGATCGTGCCGGATCTAATGCGCGAGCACACAGGCGAGCATGGCGAGCACAGAGCTGGTGTGGAACACGGATCATGGCGAGCACAGGGCTGGTAAATTGGGCAGCGAGTCAAGTGCTGAGTGCATGACGCAACTCTGTGTGTTATGCCTCCAGCGGAGATAGCACACATCCAACGTGCAGAGAGCGGCCTATGACGCTCAAAGGGCTGCTCAATTTTACTATGACTGACCCATAGCCGACCACAATACAAGATGACCGTTCATCCCACTCAACTACGCCATCAGCGAAGCACAGGCTTGTCCAGGGTGTTTCGCATCAAGCCTGGTGCGCTCTTGTGTCCCTGAAGCATCTCGAATGATTGATTCGCGAGTGTCGCGATCACGGGGCACGTTGCCAGAACGGACGCTCGCAGACAAGTGTCATGTCTGCGAACGGAGGCAGTGCTCGCAGCGCAGCCGCCAGTGCATTTAAGAAAACAAGACGAGGTAAGCTGTGAAACTACACGTTGTTTCATTTGAATTACCAATTTTGGGAGGGCTATGATGTATATATATATATATATATATATATATATATATATATATATATGTATTTGTATATGTATATATGTATATGTATATATAAACATTTTATTCCAGGTTTCTACAAAACAAATATTTAGACAAGCTCTAGAGTGCCCATACCCAGGTACCTTAAACCTGGTACCTTAAGGTGCCTTAAACTGGCAGGCCCGACCGATGAGCACGAAGAGCGGGGGCCTACATCTCTACCTGCCAGACCGCAAGGATTGTGTGAAGGACACCAGTATAACGCTCCAATAATTTTCGGACATACCTGCCATACTGCGCGCCGGCAGTCTATTTTAAGCATCCTTACTTCCACTTGTTTATTCCCACATCTTGTAATTTAAAGCGTCGATGATTTTGGAACCGCATTATACCTCTAACGTCGGCCTAAATGTAGGTCCATCCCATTGTGGTTGCCTTGCAAAGAACGCACGCAGTGGGCTGCTTTCTTTGGCGTGGTATTTGAACGCCATTATTTCGCTGCATCATAGCTGATCTGCTTGGCACAGAAAAAAAACGATCTGAACGACCTAAATCCTCAGTGCACGTTGCGTTGGCAAAGTGTATTTCAAATAATTAACTATTTCTTAATGACGACGAGCCAGAAAATCTTGAGGCTCGGCGCACATCCGTGAAGCAAGGAACTCCTCCGCGGTCATGAACTGCATCACCGCCAGAAAAGACCACTACGATGGCGAATAAAGCTTGGTGGTTTGAACAAAGAGGTGTGAGACGCGCTGCCACGCTGTGGCCACCGTCAATGGCTGCGCCTCACAAGTCGGTTCTGAGCTGCGTCACGCCGGTCACATCCCCACGGACCGCAATCTTTCAGAACAAAACAACTACGGCGCTGTCCGTCAGAGGATGAATGGAGACGGATGCAGCGAATGCGGCTGTCACAAGTGGGTCCGAACCCCGGCGCATCTCGTCGGCCCCTTCCACGACCCCTGTGATACCCTTCTCCCGAGGGCAAACCAAGGCGGAGGTGCGTTCAGCTGAAGGTAAGCTGTGCAGGCCTCAATGTTCACAACCCGTTATGCTCCACACAAAACCGGCTCGGATAATGGGCAGGTCTTCCAGAAGCTGAGTCGAAACGGATCAACGCTGGTTGAGCTCACTTACTTAGTGCCAGGTTCCAGTGGTACTCTCCAGGGACTTATGAGTCGTCAAGAGTGTCCCAATCACCCTGAAGGTCAGCTGAAGGTCAGGTAATACCCATCAAAGCCAGCTCTAACATTTCGTGACTTAAAGGGAGTGTTCCACATCTGTTTGGGGTTTTGAACCGAAATAGCCATCTTGAGGACTTTTGGTGCTGTTCACAATCCCGCCCTTCTTAGGACCTAAGCGCCTCTAGTTTCTGAGCTGCACGCCGGCGAAAATGTGCATCGGAGAAAGTTTCAGTCACCTTGACATCCATGACGTCATAATAACATCATTAAAATCCTGGCATTCCATAAGCCATGCGGCGACCAGGGCCAGGAAAAGATGTTGTTGTCAAGGCGTTTATGTTTGGCGTTCGTGAACTCCATTTCCAGATATAACGTCCGTCAACTGGTTCGTAATCAGTGTAGTGCACGGCACGATAACGTGATCAAACCCAGGCGCATTGTGGAGGATATCTACTCAGTACACCAATTAGTTTAAATTTATTAAATTAGATATATAATTAATAGATATACTGAAAAGATAATGAAGTAAATTTAATAAAATAATAAATTAGATTAAAAAGTATACCAATAGTTAGAAATGAGCTTGTTTCATCAATATGATGCTTGCCTCAATATCTTCACATGTGAAATGTTTCCTCTAATCAATAACTTTCCGCGCAGGGGCTGAGCGGCGACAGCAGCGGTGCCGGTGCGCGTCGGCACATGAGCCGGCGCCGCGCGACCGTCGGCACGTGAGAGCCGGCGCCGCCCGACCGTCGGCACGTGAGAGCCGGCGCCGCCCGACCGTCGGCACGTGAGAGCCGGCGCCGCCAGGCCGTCGGCACGTGAGAGCCGACGCCGCCAGGCCGTCGGCACGTGAGAGCCGGCGCCGCCCGACCGTCGGCACGGAGAGCCGGCGCCGCCCGACCGTCGGCACGTGAGCGCCGGCGCCGCCAGGCCGTCGGCACGTGACGCCGGCGCCCGACCGTCGGCACGTGAGCGCCGGCGCTGCCAGGCTGTCGGCACGTGAGCGCCGGCGCTGCCAGGCTGTCGGCACGTGAGAGCCGGCGCCGCCAGGCCGTCGGCACGTGAGAGCCGGCGCCCGCCAGGCCGTCGGCACGTGAGCGCCGGCGCCGCCAGGCCGTCGGCACGTGAGCGCCGGCGCCGCCAGGCTGTCGGCACGTGAGCGCCGGCGCTGCCAGGCTGTCGGCACGGAGCCGGCGCCGCCCACCGTCGGCACGTGAGAGCCGGCGCCGCCAGACCGTCGGCACGTGAGCGCCGGCGCCGCCAGGACTTCGGCACGTGAGAGCCGGCGCCGCCCGACCGTCGCACGTGAGAGCCGGCGCCGCCAGGCTGTCGGCACGAGAGCGCCGGCGCGCCGCCCGGCCGTCGGCACGTGAGCGCCGGCGCCGCCCGGCCGTCGGCACGTGAGCGCCGGCGCCGCCAGGCCGTCGGCACGTGAGCGCCGGCGCTGCCCGGCCGTCGGCACACCGGCCGCAGCCGGTCACTCATCCCCAGAAATCGCCGCGCTGGCTGGCAAGACAGACGCCAGCCCCTCCCCTCCCCCCCGCGCCGGCCGCGTCCTCCCTTTCACCGGCGGCACTGTAGGGGGGGGGGGGGGGGGAGGGCAGGTACCGGCGCAGTCAGGCTGCCCCAGGCTGTCGCAATAACCGGCCCCGCTAGTGGACGCCCGTCCGCGGGCGAGCCGGGGCTCCCCCTGCCGCCCGAGTCGGGTGTGCTGACCGCGACCGCGGCGACGCTGAGCCGAAGCGGCCGTCGGTCGCCTGCGGTAGCTGATCAGGCACTCAGCACTACACAAGGGTGGAGAACGGCCCACGGCCAGGTTGTCTCTACAGTTTGTAGGTTTGTGTTGTGTGTTGGTCGAGGGAATTCGCAATAATTCTGATAAGATATCAAAGGAGAACTGGCCAGCATTGAGCTGAAGCGAGGTGGAAATGGAGGCTGGGGATCAAGACCCGCCCAAAGGCCCACAACGTTTCACATATGTGTGATGACGTCAATGTCGCAGCGTGAAGCGTCCGCTACCGTACGCTACTGCGCCGCTTCACTTTGCCGTGACGTCACCCCCGCGGCGTCACACCGCAGTGCAGCGAGGCGCGCCGGGGCCCCGCCCCAGCCCCTCCCCCTCGGCCCACGGTGTGGCGTGGGTTCCCAGCGCGGCTGCGCAACTGACGAAGCCCTCCCCCTCGTCTCCCCTCCCCAAAGGACGGAAGTACGTCAACCAGGAACAATGGGACGATCGCCGGGGAGGGGGGGG